GGTGAGACTCGTATTAGTCACAGGGGGTTTGGTTGCTTATTGTTAAGCGCAAATCTACATAATGAGCTATCTGTGCTGTTCCCACCACGAGTATCGAAACCCGAGTTCTAGCGTTGTATACTTGCAGACTTACCGCTGAGCCACTAGGAGGTCGGGACACAGGAGATCAGTAATTTATAAAGCAGTTCAAGAAATGAAAGATTGATCTTTATGGGCAACCTGAATAATATAAGATCAAGACAAGGGAACTGGAACAGAAGTGCTCGAACAAGGAACCAGCAACTGACAAGCAGTTGACACTCAATATTAGTTCTTACATCAAATAAGTTCAGCCTAGAAATCTACTAACAAGTTTTAGTAGTTAGGATAGTTAAATAGTGGCTATAGCGATAACCCATCAAGAAAAAAATACGGCTCTACCTCAATGCCTCAAACAACAGAAATACTAAATCTCTAACGTCCCATGTTCGTAGAAGAATTGAATTTATATACTTGCTTAAAAAGTAAAGCTAAACTAAAGATATGTGCTGTGTGTCAATCGAACCCCGAATTTTAGCATTATAGGCCCCAAACTTACCATTGAATCACCAGGAGACAGAAGAAGATTAAAAACTTGTGAAATTGTTTATAAACTTTCAGAAATTTGCAGAGTTTTATTGGAATAATTTGAAACTTGTAATTTTAAAAGTGTCTTTTTATGATTTTCAATTTGTTTGTATATAATTACATGATACATGCATCAGATAGATGTCAGTATTTGTTGTAGATTTAATTCGTTGACTTGCATTAGTTAAACCAATATTTTTGTATATATATTCTAATGATTTTACACCTGGTAAACACTTTAGTTAAACCAATATTTTTGTATATATATTCTAATGATTTTACACCTGGTAAACATTTTAGTTAAACCAATATTTTTGTATATATATTCTAATGATTTTACACCTGGTAAACACTTTAGTTAAACCAATATTCTTGTATAGATTCTAATAATTTTACACCTGGTAAACACTTTAGTTAAACCAATATTCTTGTATAGATTCTAATAATTTTACACCTGGTAAACACTTTAGTTAAACCAATATTCTTGTATAGATTCTAATAATTTTACACGTGGTAAACACTTTAGTTAAACCAATATTCTTGTATAGATTCTAATAATTTTACACCTGGTAAACACTTTCATAGATATTAGTTCGTCTCGTGCATCTAATTTTGTCACTTTTGGTACAAATGATCGTTTTTGACAAGTGGAATGTTCGGTCATAGCTATGACGTATAGTGGAAGTGAATGTATACTAGTTTAAAGCCTACAGTAGTTCCAGGTGCTTTAAGTTTCTTCTACCCATATAACTATTTCAATCTTTCAAGCATCTCTTTATAACATACTTTAATAACTTCACCCATCAAGTCTTAACTGTATTAGTTTCCCGTACTCAGTTCTTCAATCTCTTCTTTATCATAAACATTGATAACTTCTTCAGCTAGGCCTAATGTTATACTACTTTTATTGTTCAATAACTTTCATTCTAAATCTTTCGCTTTAACATGAATACTGAATGGTTTCTGCTAAATGTAATCACTTCACTTTAACATGAATACTGAATGGTTTCTGCTAAATGTAATCACTTCACTTTAACATGAATACTGAATGGTTTCTGCTAAATGTAATCACTTCGCTTTAACATGAATACTGAATGGTTTCTGCTAAATGTAATCACTTCGCTTTAACATGAATACTGAATGGTTTCTGCTAAATGTAATCACTTCGCTTTAACATGAATACTGAATGGTTTCTGCTAAATGTAATCACTTCGCTTTAACATGAATACTGAATGGTTTCTGCTAAATGTAATCACTTCACTTTAACATGAATACTGAATGGTTTCTGCTAAATGTAATCACTTCACTTTAACATGAATACTGAATGGTTTCTGCTAAATGTAATCACTTCACTACAATCTCTTTTTAATCTTATGTCGTGTAAGTTAAAAATAGATGAAAAAGTTTTTCCTGGATTAAGAATATGAATTAAAGAGTCCACTAAACGTGACGGGTACTAGATCGTCATAAAAAAAAACGAAAAAATATTACTTTTCTATAATTAAAAGCAGATTATGTTTGAAAACGCAGTGAAACTAAAACAGAGAATGGTGAATGTTAACTGAAATCTAACAACATATGTGTAGACATAACATTTCCATACAGTAAACCCGTAGAACGGAAATATAAGACAGGTTGATCGATATATTGCAATAGACAACGCGAAGCAAATCTTCATGCTTGGAGCCATTCAAGTATGAACAGAAAATAGAAACAAGCGATGGTATTATCGTCCTGTGGAGCTATCCATATTTGAACAGAACACTAAAACAAGCGGCCCTGTTATTATTTTCTGGAGTCATCCAGGTTTAAACAGAACGCAGAAACGAGTGGCACTTGTATTGATGAGTGCACTGGAATGGACGGCAACTGACTGTTGTAGAAAAAAACACAAGTACAGTAGAAAACGTTTCAACGAAAGACTTTTGAAACGTTGTCCTCCACACTTGTGTTCTTTTTTTTTTGTTTTTTTTACACAACAGGCAGTTGTCGTCCATTCCAGTGCACTCATCATGAATACTCTCCCTAAACAAGCGCTGTTACTATTATTCACTGTAGCCATCCAGGTCTGGTGAGAACGTAGAAACAAACGGTATTGTCATTATTATTATTCGGAGCCATCTAAGTTTGTAAAGAACGTACAAACAAGTGTTGGTATGAAGTCATCCGGGTTTGAACAGAACGTAGAAAAAGCGAAGCCAATATTATTCAGTGTAACCATCCAAGATTGAATACAACGTAGAAACAAGTCGAACTGTTATTATTATTCTGTGGTTTATCCAGATTTGACAAGAGCGTAAAAACAAGTCGAACTATAAATATTATGCTGTGGTTTATCCAGATTTGACAAGAACGTAGAAACAAGTCGATATGTTATTATTATTTTGTGGTTTATCCAGATTTGACAAGAACGTTGAAACAAGTCGAACTGTAAATATTATGCTGTGGTTTATCCAGATTTGACAAGAACGTAGAAACAAGTCGAACTATTAATATTATGTTGTGGTTTATCCAGATTTGACAAGAACGTAGAAACAAGTCGAACTATTATTATTATTCTGTGGTTTATCCACATTTGACAAGAACGTAGAAACAAGTCGAACTTATTATTATTATTCTGTGGTTTATCCAGATTTGACAACTATTATTCTTCTTCTACAGATGGTTGCAAAACTCAGTGTTATGGAAAGGAAACTGGCAATTATGTTCTTCCTACACAAACCCCAAATGGTGGAATAAGAAGAAACACAAAAGCTGAATGCAAATAGGGCTCAATTTATCAAAAAGGCATTGTGTGGCTGTCCTGCGAGAAGGCAGAGAAGCTTCTAAGCTGAAAATTAATTACGCTTTTCACGTATGTTTATTTTCTATACACGACACTAATCTATGCGCTATTGTGTACATCAAAAAGGTTTCTCCTCGTTGTTTATCTACTTCGTTTATAAAATACGTCTACTTCTCTTTTGTATGCTATATTTTCGTTTCTTTTCTCAGCTCATTCTAGACGTTCTTTTTAAACTTGACTTCTCTCAGTTCCGCATTCATGCTCCTTGTCTTGCTACATCCAGTAATATATTTTAATTTTCGTTATTACTTTTTCCCTTAGGGAACTTTTTCGTGCGTTTGTTTACATAATGAAACTAAAATCTGTTTATCTTTGGGATTATTTGTTAAGAAATCAAACACCGTAATGTTTATTCGGCGTATTTAGTCAATTGTTTAGTTTTATCATGTTGAATAATATTTATAATTTGGTTTTCATTGAGTCTTACCAATTGTTGACTCATATCCTATATATTTGCTTCTGTCTCTTCCATCACCTATTTGCACTCAATATGTACCACTCCTAGTTTTCTCTATAGGATATACATATTTATCTTCAGTTCCAATGTTTAGATTTATATCACACTAGATTACATTTTGTTGTAAATTGTTGCTACTTTCGCCCTTTTCAAGTGCTTTTCTCAAAATTATCTTTTCACCTATCATTTCCGCTCTTAGTATTTTATGTTAGCTTCATGTCTCTCATTCGTTCATTTTTATCAGTTTTAATTATCTTCACTCTAACTTTTCTTTACATACTCCCTATTTTATCATATGCTGATATCGTAATAATTATTATTTTTTGTATAAGACAACGTCTTATTTTTCTCTATTTTCGGCCTTTCGTTTCGTTATTCTTCACTACTTAAATTTTCTTTAAAGTATTACAACTGACAAAACGTCATTGAAAGCAAGAAAGTGACAGATGATACGAGACTTTTAAGATCAAAGTAAAGCCTACTCTTAGCTCAACCTTAATATCCTGTTTGTTTTTAGTACAGATTTCAGCAGAACTTTAAAACCCAAACCAATAACCATCATATGGCTGTACGGTTTGTTTTAGTATTACGTGCCAGGAGCTTTGGTCTGTTGAAGACCGTAAAACAACACAATCGTGCAATACCGCGAATTGTCAAGAAACGGGGTCGTTAATGGTAAAATAAAGTACGAACGACATTTAGGATCATTCCGAGAAGCCCTAAAAGTGGAACAAACTAATCCTACTTTCTCTTGAGTGCGAAATAATACCCAGATAAAAGTAACAGAAAACAAAATAAGAAAGGTAGACAAATAAAATTTAGTTGTAAAACGTTGTTATCAGAAACTATAATACTTTCTCCTTCATGTTTTGAAATATTATATGTATTACTAAATTACCTGTTTCTCTGAAGTATTTCTAAACCTGCAAAGCCATAATACACATTTAATGTTATTATGATAAAGGTGAATCTTTTAAAGTTCTTAAAATAATTAAAACAATTAAAATTTGTTTTTGAATCCAAAAAACTTTAAGTAACAGTTTTTACATATGGCTTACGTCCCGCCATCTATTGAACAAAATAATAACTTACTTTCATAATCATAAACATGAACCTCAGATCGAGGTGGGCGAGGAGTACGCTTCACAGTAGCATATAAAGGTTCGTCTTTAGCCTAAATGAAACCCAAACAATAATTATAGTTGTCATCTACTAAGTAAAATCTTTTAGAAAATTTATATTTTCAATGTCTCATCTAAAGTAAAATTGCCTTGTGACTGGAAATAAAAATAAATTATTTCAATTATGTACATAATACGCGTTTCATAGTTACTTTAACAGAAAATACACCCTTAGCTCATTAAAAGTGAGTATATTTATAATTAGTCTAAAAAATAGACTATTACGTGTTATATTTTAGAGAGTACAATAGTTTTTAATCTTCAGGCTGAAAAAAAAAACTCTATCGGAGCCTGTGCTGCCACCTAGCAACAAAATTATGAAGAAATAACATTGTAACATTTGTAAGTCAGCAGTTAATAAAGTTATGCCTAACTCATAGAGGTTTATTTTATCATCACAATGAAAAAGTAAAGTGAAGTTTATAAAAACCTACTTTGATATCTAGTAAAATCATTATGAACTAATAAACTGTAAACTTTTCATTGTTAGTGAAATCAAATTATCTATCATCTATCATTGGAGATTAGACCTACCAAACTACAATCGTCGACATCTCCCACTTTCCTGTCCTCTGACCCTGATAACTGGGTAGTAGCATAAGGCTGAGGGTAAGTGAATGACTTGGCTCGACTTGGTGAAGCTGAGGTTTTTTTAATCGAGTTCTTGTTATCTAAGTTACTTAGCTGTACGTTTTCTCGAGTCTGTATTTTTCGACAGTTGTACACGGAACTTCCTGGAGCACGAATCGACCAAAAATGATAAATGTGAAATAGGATACGTTTTAAACTATAACAGCTGTTTTTAAGTCTGTAAGTCGACTAGAAACACAAAATACTTTACAGTCAATAAAACAAAATATTTTTCTAATACTAGCCTAACCGTTATATTTCGTAATATACATAATAAAAACTTAAGGGTAAAATTATTTAAGAGAAGACAAAGTTTTTAAATTAGAGAATGAAAACGAAACGTATTTCTAATATATAATTATGTCTTTAAAAAAAGAAATACATGTATTGTCATGTCTAATTTATAAAAACCATGATGAGTAGAATTTGCTTCGATATACAGAAACTTGAAATAAGACAAACCACTTATTGAACTCTCGGTAGAACTGCGACGCCGTACAATCACACAAACCAAGAACATGACCACGACAACCACTACAAACGAAACACCAGTTGGCAGTATAATGTTCAAGTCCAAGTAAAAGGGAATTTTCTCTCCAATAAGTATGGGGATGGACGTCGTGTACACTACAAAATCATACAAATAACACAAGAAACTGAACCACCAGTACTAACACATATCGCTATACAAAAAGTATTCGCTTTTTTTTTCTAACATTAAGAAAATATGGCTTTATATAAAAACTACTCATATTATTCCTAGTATTAACGTAGAACGTTGAATAAAAAGTATATTATAATCTTTTTAGTACTAATACAGATCGCCGTATAAAAAGTATCTCAAACAGTCTACAAAGCTAACATTTAAATAATGTTTCTTGTGCTGAAAGATCCTGCTATTCTGAAAAATAATATTAACTACAACTTGTAAAAACTTTTAACAATGTTCTGTTAAAGATTAACAGCTGTAACGGAAGAATGTCTGCTTTCTGTAGAAGGTTATTAACTACAACTTGTTAAGCTCTTTAGCAATGTTCTGTTAAAGATTAACACCTGTGAAGGAAGGCTGCCTTATTTCTGTAGATGAGTAGTAACTTTCAATAGTAGTAATTCAGTTACAGAAGGTTACTGACTTTTTGGTGATAACTATAACCTTTGCAAAGTAAATCACTAGACATTTGTAAAAAACATCCGACATTTCTCGGGAAACTAATTAAATATCTAAGTGCAAAACTTTCCAAGAAATGATATATCTTTCCAAAACAGGTTATTATTATTCTGTAGAAAGTCACTATTTAAGGATTATAGTTGACAACTTTCAAATACAGATAACCAAAAACTCTGTACAGTACTTGACTTACTTGTCGTCATAGTTTGTGTAACAAACAAGTACTCTGCCTCCGTAGCCCCAGCTTCATTGTGAGCTGTTACTTTGACCTGGTATCGTGTTCCTGGAGTAAGGGATGGGATGGTTATTTGTTTTCGATTACTAGGAACTCTGCTAGACACAATACTCCAGTTGTCGTCTCTCTGAGCCTTGTAGCTGACACTAAAGAGCGTGATTAGACAACCTCCATCATGCCAGGCATCCAGCCGGATGGTGACAGATGTCCTGTTAGTGACTAGTAAGGACTCTTTGTTGGGGGCAACGGGAGCTAAGTAGTAAACCAAATTTAGTTTTTCATATAAAATGAACTTTTTACTAACATCACTAAGTTTCAGAACTAAAGACCGAACAAGTTTCAAGTTTTGCGAAATTTATAAGCAAGTGTTTCAGTAGTAAACTTTTTGAATTAAGCAAACATGCCTTGAGCTTCCCTCTACATTATTTAAAACTAGCAGAGACCTACAAGATATTTGCAGTCAAATTAATATCCTTATTGCAATTGTACTCCTCTAAGTACAGGATTTCTCCAGTAATATAAAGGAATTCTAATCGCAGACATCGGTGTAGCAATTTCAGATTACCCCTGCTTCACCTTACCCCACGGTAACTTAAAATCGCGCTCAAATTACCGGGAGGTAGGATGAAATCGATTTCAAATTACCCCTGGGAATAGCTTGAAGATGACTTCAACCTACCCCCTACGATTTCAGATTACCCCCTAAAACATTTATTTATCTATGTTTATTTAGATACTAAGCTATTATAGTACCTCAATTCTTTAGATTTAGGCTAGTTAGAACCTCATTCACTGAGTTTAAGCTAATAAAGTGCCTCAATTCCCTGGGTTTAATCTAGTATATTACCTGTTTCATTGGGTTTAAGCTATGATAGTTCCTGAATTTCCTGGTTTCAAGCTAGTATAGTACCTCCATTCCTTGAGTTTAAGCTAGTATAGTACCTCATTTTCTTGGGTTTAAGCTAGTATAGTTCCTCAATTCCCTTGGTTTTAACTACTATAGTACCTCATTCATTGGGTTTAAGCTAATATAGTACCTCAATCCTTGGGTTAGAGCTTGTATAGTACCTTAATTCCTTGGTTTTAAGGTAATATAGTACTTCAATTCCTTTGAAGTAGAGCTTATATAGTACTTTGATTCCTTGGTGTTAAGCTAGTACAGTACCTCAATTTCGTGGATTGAAGCTAGTATAGTACCTCAAGTTTTTGGGTTTGAGCTAGTATAATACATTATTCCTTCGGTTTAAGCTAGTATAGTACCCCGTTCTCTGAGTTTAAACTGGTATACTACCTCGATTCCTTGGGTTTAAGCTAGTATAGTACCCCGTTCTCTGAGTTTAAACTGGTATACTACCTCGATTCCTTGGGTTTAAG